CGTCGGAATTCCGTCGGTTTTGCTACCGTCGGAAATCCGTCGATGAGACGTGTCGTCGGAAATCCGTCGGTGGCACGGGTCGTCGGAAATCCGTCGGTGACACGGGTCGTCGGAAATCCGTCGAAGGTTCTGGCCGTCGGAAATCCGTCGGCAATAATTCCGACGGATTCCAGTTATCCCTTTTCCGTCGGAAATCCGTCAGTATTTCCGACGGATTTTCGACAGTTTTTAATTTCCGACGAGATAGAACCGACGGACCAAAAACGTCGGCAAGCCGTCGGAATAGGGCTTATTCCAACAGATTTCCGACGGTTTTGGCCGTCGGAAACGGCCCTGTTTTCTTGTAGTGTTGTATAATAATATATTGGCACTCAAGCGTTTGGTTCTCACTGTGGACCCTCGACTCTTGATCGTCTGGATTTTCTTGCCATTGAAGAAGTCTACCGGTAGTCGAGGATGATTGAAATCACAGTGAGATATTCGAATTCTGCCAAAAAATGGCATTCAGAGTGAATCCTTCAACCACTTGAGCACCACTACCATTAGTTAGAATTATAAACGATTATCTACATAACAGTTAGAACCCAATGTTTTTAATTTCATTTTCCAAGGCTCCAGAATTATAGAACAAGCACGAACGTCTTTTTCTTTCTTTACTTCTTCTTTGCTAACATACACCAAAATTTTGTTTAATTCTTTCTTTGTTGTGAAAACTATTACAAATCGATTCCATAATATTATCGAAACGTAGACGATATATCATAATGATTTCTTTTAACCCTGACTTATTATTTTTTGCCTTAAAATGTTTACTTCTTTCTTTGTTTGTTCTGGTTACAAATAGACTCAAGGACATTAACATTGAAAGGAGAGGAAACGGCGACGTATAAGAAAATAGTGTTAAAACGAACAATTAGGGCACACAAAGTGTAGTGGTAAAGCGTGACATGAGCACTCTAAAGACAAGCCGTTATATTAGTTAACAATCTCATGTCATACAACAACCGTAACATTCTTTGTTACGTTTTACTATAAAAATGGATCACAAAGTTAAAACTTCTTCATATCATCAAGAAAAAAAAAGAAAAAATGCAATTCTTGATTTACCTTGTTATGTTTTTTCTACTCTTAAATGGTTTCGCAACCGCACAATCTTTGATTCAAGATTCTTGCAAGAAAGCTGCCAATCTAAGCCGGAATTTCAACTATGATTTCTGCGTCAAGTCTCTTGAAGGGAATCCACAGTGCAAAACCGCAGAAAGTCTCGATGGATTGGTTCTTCCATCAACGAATATGGCTGTCTTAAAAATAACAAGCTTGAAAGGAATTGCTGAAAAAATTATCAAGGAGAAGAGATATGAAAAGGACAGTGAGAAACCATTCCGTGATTGTCTCGAGCTTTATTCAGATGCTCAAAATTCTTTAAAGGAAGCTTTAATGATCGTTAAATCGCACGATTACAAAAGCGCTAATGTGGTTATAAGTGCTGCAATGGGTGCACCGACCAGTTGCGAAACCGGATTCAAAGAAAAAAAAAGATATCAGAAATCTCCGTTTACCAAAGATAACGATGTTTTGTTTCAGATGATTTTGATTCCTTTAGCTTTTACAAATATGTTGAAATGAAATTTATTAAAGTGTATTGTTAGGATCTCCTACAGCTCATTTATAAGAACCTAAAATAATATATCTATATATATAAGATATGAACAAATTCATTCACTACAGTATTTCTTCCCGTTTACAAAATTATTTGTTGGTTCACTTGTGCCCCATGCAGATTTGTTGTTCAACTGTTATATATATGCTATTTAGTAGGGACGTGGGATATCCGGAAATTTCTGGATCTAGATCCAGATATGTGGCTCCCGGATATCCGTCCGAATATAAAGTTATCCGTGGATCCGGATCTGTTAAAAAAAAA